TTTTACTATGTCATTGATCCAGTCCAACCAACACCGTCGGAGATGTTCGTTAGCATTGATCACTATTTATATTATCTTCTCTCTCTTTCTATTCTTGCAAAATACGAACTCTATTGTTCTTCTTTCCTCTAATTTGATTTTGGTACTTAGTAATAAAAAAAATGTATACTCTCATTTCTCCACGATTTAACAAATCATATTTTCATTTCATTTCAATGATATTTTTATTTAGATTTAACTATAATCCAAAATTTATCTGACAAATAATTCGAACGTCGATTCTTTCTAATTGATTGAATTGTCTCTTCACACAATGTTCATCATATCCAGGTAAAACCTTTGGAATTCTTGACATCCCTCACCCTCTAAGCTCGTCTCGACACGCACACAAATATGATATAGCAGGAGGCAGAACTTGTTTTATTCAGACACGATTTTGTATAGCAAAAACTGCGTCCTGTATCTGTTAGATGACCGTAAGGTTATGCAAGTCAATCATCCAATGTAGCAGACTAGGACAAAAGAGAGACACAAAGAAGCAGAGAATAGTCAGAGAAGTCATCCACTGATTTCTGTATTCAGTCTTTTTTTCTCTTTCTAGTTGTGTATGGCCGTTCTGGATGGTGTTTTCCTGTTGGTATGCTATGACTCTAACTGAAGGCATAAGATGGATTCCAGTCGGTTCATCAAGTGCAAAAGCTGGTTTACCATCAGAAAATAAAGGTATCGTGAATTGCTTCTTTTGAGTCAATTGAATTCTTCGACAAGAGACGCATGATATCTTCATCCAGTTTTAAAAATAAATCTCTTCATCTTTTTTCAGTAATGTAAGGTCAAATCTAATCTGATCAATTCGTCTCGATATTTCATTAAGTTAGTGTTCAATTCTACTGTGCCGTCAAATGATATCGAATTCGATCCATAATCTTCATATTAATTATTCAATAATTCGTCTTCTGAAGTGTTCCTGTGCTCAAGGAAACTCTCTTTGATATATATTCAATGAGAAATATATTGTCATTCTCGTCAATCTGCCATTTCTATTACTGATCAGTTTCAGAAATTCTCGAAGTCTAGAGTGGAATTCTATATTGTATTTGATGACTGCAAGAAATTCCTCTTTATGAGTTCTCTGTTGAAGATTGCGACAAAAAGAAACAGCTAAGATAACTGAACGCATATTCTGAGAAAAGTTCACATTCACTGTTTATCTTTGGGTAGGACAGATATGGAACTATCAGTCAACAATGGAATCCCGTATTTTACGCATAAGTTGGAGCTTTCGAGACTAAAACAAGTGTAATCACATTCTTCGTCTTACTTTATTCTTTTGGAGTTATGCTTATTCCATTAGATGGTTGACTTTTAGCCAAATATCTATCGAACAACCAAATGGCGTATTTTTCATCTAGAATTTCTCTTATAAGTTTGTCTTAGGAATTTCAAGAATACTTCATAGGTGTCAGTGTAATGAGTGGCTTTCTCTCTAGATATACCGTGTTAAACAAACTGAATGTTGTGATATTTTCCTTGTGCCAAGTCTTTCCTATGCGGATATTCATTAATCTAGGCACAAAACTATTCATTTTGGCTGCAATTATTCTGGTATTTCTTTGTGCTTGAGATTTATTGATAAATAAAATTCTAAGCTAAAATTTCGTTCTGTGTTTGTTTCATAAATATCTGATCAAAAATCGATATTTAGAGTAACAGTCATTACTTGAAAACATCAAAGCACTGCGATCAATCTTTTATCTCTTCTCCTAAATCCCTTTCTTCAGAATAGAAGAGTCCTCATCCCTAATTAGGACACTCCCCCCATAAAAAATCTGAATGATCGTAGTAATAGAAGTCCGGGTCATATATTAAGGATACAGTTCAACTTCGCTTTTGATGGCTATCACTTTGAAATTCTAATAAATTTAATTGATTTATTGTGCGATTCTACGGATTGCGTACTAATGCTTCCCGATTATTATACATCCATTTTTTTGCAATATCGCCAGATATGCTAATAACTCGACTGTTTTCAAAAGTTTTAACAACAAAAATAATTCCAAATGATATATTCTCATACGTATTCGTTTATTTATTTGGGTCTTTCATTAAATATTCAGTACACCGACAGATTCCGATGCTCTCATTTCAGACTACAATCAATCAAAATATCTGAAAGTTTCAAATAGAAACTCAAAAATCAGTTTTCTTCGTGTTCCTAAGGGGAACCATAGCCTTCTATTAAAGCATCAAACAAAAAGTGCCATAGCTCCTCAGCGATAAATTAAGGGTCGAAACTCTTCAGGATATTTATAGCTCATTAGGGACTACATAATGCATGTACTCTCGACTTGAAAGTTTCCCTTATTAAATGGTATCATCAATCAAAAAATCTGTAAATTACTAATAGCTTTCCCCCAAAGGGACAAGAACACAAATCAACTTAGGATATTTCACTACCCACTAAGCTCCACAAGATGAAAACAGCCCGAGTCCAAAAGTTTTCGATCACCACCTCGAGAAGTTCTCTGGTAAGAGAAAGGTTGGATTATTCTATACAGCATAGGCAAACGACACAAGTTTTATTTCTCGTAGACATCTCACTATGTACTTTCAATAGTATTTCTTAGAGAGAGAAAACTAGTTATAGGCGAACCTTTTGAATAAGTTTGATAATTTTTGATTAAAAAGTAGTATTAAACACATCTGAAAGTGTGAAAAAGTCAAAAGAGTAAAAACACTGTGAAGTACTTTGAATATTACTATGGAGGAAGAATCTTTTTTTGCTTTTTCCATTTTTTCAGGTGAGTTTCATTACTTTTTCACACTGTTAGTAGTACTTAATAGTATTGTTTGATGAAAAAGTATCAAAAGTACTTAAAGATCTTCATTTAAGAGGAAAAGTCTTTAAGTGTCACGTTCCGTTTCGAATCTGGTATTTGCCACTTTATAGGGCTCAATAAATACAGCATGCATTATAAAGAGTTCGTCCCCATACTAGACTTAAGGAGTGACGAGGTACCATATGAGTTAGGGTGTAGATGATTGAAGTGTCCACACCCACCCACCCAAATGTAATAGATGACTTCTTATGTGTTTTCGGCAAGAGCTAAATTTAGAATTGAGTTCCTGTTGTGTATAGCCTTCGATTATATGGCGGACTTATATTCTGTGGAGAGATTTTAGTAAGATATACCAACCGCAGTATACACTCGTACAATGGCATATAAGACGCACGAATACTTCTAAACAATAGGATTTGAGAATCCAGAACTCCTCAAATAATAGCCAAATGAAGACCTGAAAGTACTTCCAAATACTAGCTTATGGAGACCTCAGAGTATCTCTAAATAGTAACTTATGAGGATCCGAGAGTACTTCCAAACAGTAGCATATGAGGACTCAAAGGTATCTCCAAGATATAGCTCTTGGGACCCTTAGGATACTTCCAAATAAAAAGATGAAAGATCTGGAGTACGATAAAAATCCAAGAATCCGGAAGTACAAAAGCAGCCTTTGTCCCTTTGAATAAATTCTTACAGTATGGTTTATTATTCTATACTATTGTTTACGATATAGATGCATAATATAAGCCTTTAGGAAATAATATGAGAATCTCGATAGTCTCAGGGATGAAACGAAAATCCTGGGAATCCAAGGAATACCATGAAAATCTTAAAAATCCAGGGAATACAGAATCCCTCTTTTCCTCCTTGTCCGTAAGACTTCGCAATTTTGTTCGCTCTGCTGTAATAGAAGGTCGGGGGCCTTTTATTCAGGGTAATTTATTACTGTAGGATCATACTAATGCAAAAGGTACCAGAAAGTCGATGATTATTAACACTTGAATATGTTCTCTTGAAACTATCGACTTACTACTCAACATGAGTGAAAAAGAAAAGTGTATTTGTCGAAAAACAAGACGTGTACAATATCGAAAATTGTGTCCACTCTTAAGATATCAAATATCATGATAGAAAATCTTTATTTGACTCATTTTCATGTGTATCTATCTATAAAACACATCATAGACGACTAGATTACTCTTAATGTATTACAAAATATTGTCAAATAATCACTTTATTTTGTAGAACTGTCTGAAACCAAGCAGCTAACCATGTTTCAAAGTAAGTTTGATTTATCAAACAGCAGTAACAGAATAGTTTTATTTTTCATATACCTGAGTAGGATAGAACAAGAATATCGTCTTCAAATTTTTGTTAAAGATTCATTATACAATTCTCCTCGAGTTTCGTAGAAAATCTTTTTCAATAACGCTGATAGCTTCAGCAAATACTGAAAATGTTCAGAGCATTTTGCCACATGATTCTTATTGCTAAACAAAAGTGTTTGAATGATGACGTTATAGTTAACAAAGAGTAATGGCGAAATTCAATACGTACTCTGGATGTTCCTGAAAAATAAGTCTGTCGTTGTGTTGTTCACACGAATAAACTTTTCGAAGAAAAGTACCGATCGCCTTCTATCATTGATCATATTGAGTTTGAGACATATGTTCAGAAGTTCCCATTTTCAAGCATCTCTTTTTTTGACTTTTTGATAATTGATGTTCAGTCTTACATTGTCACTGATAGAGAAATCTGGTGATCTACACTTCACTATGTTTTTTTAAAATTCATCATACAAATAATTTAATTCCCAATCAAGAAAATAAGTTAGAAAGATGCCCCAAACATCTTTCCATGTTTCATTATAATGCGAAATAACGATATGACATATTTCGACATTTTCGTCTTTTTCTTTTTTCTACGAAATTCAAAAATAATTCAACACTGAATCTTTAATAAAAAATTCAAAGCGATATTGTAGGTCTTCGCCGATACAGATGCAATATAAAAGTGTTACAATCATTTAATCACATGATGATTAACATGAGTGAAAAAGACTGAATAACAGTACACAGTCCACTTCATTATGTCACTAAATGCTGAATACTCTTCCAAAGTGATGATCATCTTGTATCGATTTTAGTTTCACATTGTATGGATGGTATCAAAAATCGAGATGAAACAGATCTTGATTGTGGTGGCATTAAATGTCCAAAATGTGAAGATACACAGACTTGCAAAGGTGATTGTGATTGTATCAGCGAAATTTGTAAAAACAACATGTGTATTCGTAAGTATCGAACGTTTGGAAAATTCAAACATTGAAAACTGTTTCGTTTCAGCGGCTGAATCATGTAAAGACGATATCAAAAATCAAGATGAGACGGATCTTGACTGTGGTGGGAACAAATGTCCAAAATGTGAAGATGAAAAGATTTGTCA